AGACAGGGCATTATCGGGTTGGGGAGTAGGGGCCACAGGGGGGGGTAGCAGTAGCCGATGGGGGAGGATGTGCCTCAAGAGGTATAATCATAACCAATGGGGAAGGAGGTGTCATAGAAGGTATAACAGCAGTGGGGGAGGAGGTGCCACAAAAGGTATAACAGTAGTGGATGATGGGCTAGGCTCAAGAGGCGTGGCAATAACAAGCATCACAGAAGACAGGGCATTATCGGGTTCGGGAGTAGGTGCCACAGGAGGGGGTAGCAGTAGCCGATGGGGGAGGATGTGCCTCAAGAGGTATAACCATAACCGGTGGGGAAGGAGGTGTCATAGAAGGTATAACAGCAGTGGGGGAGGAGGTGCCACAAAAGGTATAACAGTAGTGGATGATGGGCTAGGCTCAAGAGGCGTGGCAATAACAAGCATCACAGAAGACAGGGCATTATCGGGTTCGGGAGTAGGTGCCACAGGAGGGGGTAGCAGTAGCCGATGGGGGAGGATGTGCCTCAAGAGGTATAATCATAACCAATGGGGAAGGAGGTGTCATAGAAGGTATAACAGCAGTGGGGGAGGAGGTGCCACAAAAGGTATAACAGTAGTGGATGATGGGCTAGGCTCAAGAGGCGTGGCAATAACAAGCATCACAGAAGACAGGGCATTATCGGGTTCGGGAGTAGGTGCCACAGGAGGGGGTAGCAGTAGCCGATGGGGGAGGATGTGCCTCAAGAGGTATAACCATAACCGGTGGGGAAGGAGGTGTCATAGAAGGTATAACAGCAGTGGGGGAGGAGGTGCCACAGAAGGTATAACAGTAGTGGAAGCAGCGACATGAGTGGAAGAAGCAGAGGAGAAGGTCATTCATGATATTATAAAAGCAACATATTGAACTAAACCAAAATATTTGAATGCAGGAGAGGCAAAGTGAGGGCATCGACGCCAGCCAAAGAAAAGGAGAGGAGGTCATTCATGATAGAAGCAATCGCTGAATCATTCGAGCGGAAAAGTTCCTTCCAATAATTATTCTAAACGTAAAATGTAAATTACACTAAACCTAATATTATGCATATACATTCGTAACACCTAAACTTCAAATGTTACATACATACCAAAATGCCAAAATTTTTAAAAAAAAGGAAAAAAAAATGGTCGAAGTTACCTTTTCCTATCGGCTAGGGTCGCGACAAATTTCGATGGCTGGAGGGAGGAACGGCGACCGACGACTGCGAGATGGAGGAGAGTAAATGGGTGCATGGTGTGCGTAGAAGAAAATGAATCGGAATACGCGAGATGAGTTTTTTTAGGTTAATTGCATCGACTTCATCGTCTACTTTGCATCAAATTTTTTCTATGCTTTTAAATAAAGTTTTTGCGTCGATTTATTGGACTCAAATACTCTGCAAAATGCGTCGCAACACCATCATTAATTTCATTATTGTTTGTGTCTAATATTGAGGCATAAGTTCCGAAAAAAATATAATAAATTAAATTTCGATCAAATTAGTATATGCGTCGAAAATTTTCGACGTAAATTTTTTTACGCTAATTCAAAACTCTCATGTAATAATAAATTATGCATGAAAATGTTTATTTCATTTTTTAAATTTAGCTAAAAGTGTAACAACATTATAAGTAGCATAATGTTACCTCGCTATATGGTGATGTCCAAGTCGTCATGACTAGTTGAAGTTTCACCGAATTGATCCGTTGAACTGTTTAGACAAACCGTTTTGATTGAGTAAGCTTATTTTGAACTGACTCGGCGAACTGTTTCGATTGAGTAAACTGACTGAGCTAACATGTCGTATTTTTCAAATGAGCGAGTTCGTTGAGTTATTCTAACAAATTGATCGAATTCTATTTCTACCTTACTCGATCCCATTTGTGATCCCAATCCTGAAGTTAGTTCTTAATATTGAATCTTCATAAATCAAAATAATATATTAAAAATCTTTCCCACCACATAAAAAATATCACTATTTTGATTTTTTTTTAAGCGAAATACACCTCTTCGTGTATATATAAGGCGACATATTGGTTAGAATTGAAATTTTTGAGTTAGATATGTAAATATATAGGAATTGAGAGGTATATATGTAAATTATCCCCAATATCTTTTTTGTATTTATTTTTTTTTATATTTTTATATTTTGCTTTTACTTTCTCCCAAAATATGTTTCTAATAAATAAAAATGCTATATCTTTTTGAGAAAATTGAGCACATTTATTTATTTTTATGCTAATATTATTAAAAATATTTTAATTTTAAATGAATTTTTAATCTCCTTTTCTTTAAATTAAATTATATTTTAAGTTTTAATTTAAAGTGTGATTTAACTCAGTATTGAGCTTTAATCGAGTATCTTAAGAAGCTTATTCATAAGTTTTATATGAATATAATATATACTTATATTTTTTAAAATTATTTTAAAATATATTTAATTGATAATTTTAAAAAATAATTTAGTTTTAACTAATTTTAATCATTTTTTTTAAAATTAAATTGTGTTTTTTAGTTATAATTTATATTGAATTATTAACTCACTCTTGTTTAGTGATTTACAATATTAATAACAAAACTAATTTGTACTCTTTATTCATTTTAAAATTTGATTATTAAATCGTATTATAAATAAAATAAGTATATATGCTTTTAATTATTATGCATATAAATCCCTTTTAATATAATAATTAAATTTATTATGCATAAAATTTTTACTAAACCCCCTATTCCTATTGTTATTGTTCAATTCATTTTTTTATGATGTATAATATTTATTTTAAATGTTTAATTGATAAGTATATCTCATTATCAATGTATATATTGTGTTCAGCTTGCTAAGTAACTTATGGTGTATTCATTTGTTAAGCAAATGAACTGATCAGATACACTTTTTTTACCTCGATTTATAAAGTTGTTGAACGCAAACTAATTTTTATTCGATCTTGTTCGAATCATTTTAGCTCGAATTAAATAAATAAACAATATTTTTATAATAATTTTTATATTGATATTTTATGTTGAATTTAAAAAAAATATTAAATTTTGTATTTATTAAACTATTCAAACTAATTTTAACCCAAACCTGAGCTGAAAAGAGCAAATGAATTTGAATCGAACCGATCATGAACATATTATTCACGAGTCAATTTGAATAAGAGCGAACACATTTTTTTTGAAAAAGCCGAACACGAAACTTCTCTCATGATAATATTTATAATTTCATGATTTGTTTTTACATAAATATAATATATTATAATAACCATCTTAGATTTAAATTATGAATTAGTTTTAAAATAAGTTGAAGTGTTATAAAATATATAGTCTTGCAATTTATTTAATTTTTTATTAATATATAAGCCCAACTCATTTTCTTCTACAGTGTATGATTCTTCATGTTGGCCGATCACTTGGTAATAAGATGAAGAGAATGATACTCATACTATGAAGACTCGCATACATATCACACAAATCTTATGTATGATTCTTTATGTGGGTACAGTAAGTAAATGTACAAAGACCTATTTTTATAAATAGGAAGTCCATTTCACGAATAAAAGATACACAAATTTACTGTTTTTTACCGTGATATTTCTCTCTCTCTCTACCTCTCTCATCACCCAACACTATTCCATAGGCAGGTCTTTGAGGTAGCTTATTTGGTGCAGTGATGTTTTGAAAACGCATCTAGATTGTTTAGGTAGACTGTGTTTTGACAGCTTATGCGTTTTGAAAATATTGAAAGCAGTGTTTTCACATTGCACTCATCTTATCAGCAGATTATTTTTAATCAGCTTATCAGCTTTCTAGCAGTGGTTTGATTTTTCAAGAAAATAAAATTTTATAATAGTCGCCGCACCTAATTTTATCAGCAGATTATTTTTAATCAACTTATCACCTGCCCAAAGAGACCCTATATCTTACTTAAATATCAGTTTTTTATTTTTTTTTTCAGCTCAAAACAGCCCATGACCTCCCCCCTCCGTCCTCCCCAATTCAAATCCCACCGTCGCCTCCTGGAGCAGAAGCTCTCCGACCTCCATAAATGCTCCGATCCCAACTCCCTCGTCCAAATCCACTCTCAAATCTTCCGTCTTTGCATCCACCGCGACCCCATCGTCGTTTCCAAGCTCATCTCCGCCTACTCTCTCTGTCGCCTCCCCTTCTCCTTCTCCACATTCTCTCGCATGCAGGTTTCCGCCATCAAAGCCGACTCCTTTACCTACTCTTTCCTCCTCAGGTCCTTCCATGGCCATCTTCGCCGCGTGGAGGTGATCCACTCTCATGTCTTCAGGTTGGGGTTTTCAGGTGATGTTTTTGTTCACAATTCTCTCATTTGTTCGTATTCTAGGGCTGGTGAACTTGCTCTTGCGCGGAAGGTGTTTGATGAAACGGTGCTTAGAGATGTTGTTTCGTGGAACTCGATGGTTGGGGCATTGGTAAGAGCAGGGGAGATTGGGGATGCTCGTAAGGTGTTTGAGGAAATGCCTGAGAGGAATATTGTAAGCTGGAACAGATTGTTGGATGGATATGTGAAGGTGGGTGATATGGACACTGCTTTAGATTTGTTTCAAAGGATTCCTGATAAAAATGTTGTTTCCTGGTCTACTATAGTGTTGGGATATTGCAAGAAGGGAGATATGGAGACCGCGAAGATGTTATTTGATAAAATGGGATTGAGGAATTTGGTTACATGGACAATTATGATATCTGGTTATGCTGAAAAAGGTCTTGCTGTGGAGGCTTCAACCTTATTGAACAAAATGGAGGAAGCTGGATTCGAACTCGATCCTTCGGCTACTATTAGCATTCTCGCCGCTTGTGCCGAGTCAGGCTTGCTCGGTTTGGGCAAGAGGATTCATGCCTCAGTCAAGAGGTTTACGACTCAGATTAGCAATGCACTCATCGATATGTATTCAAAATGCGGCGATTCAGACGAAGCATGGATCATCTTCGAAGAAACCATAGTGAAGGATTTGATGTCCTGGAACTCCATGATTCATGGCCTTGCCATGCACGGGCATGGCGAGAGAGCCTTAGATCTCTTCGCTCGAATGGAGGGTGAAGATTTCATGCCCGATGGCATTACCTTCATAGGCGTGCTATGCGCCTGTACTCACATGGGACTTGTCAATGAGGCTCGAAGGTATTTCTCCGCCATGCAAAAGGACTATGGGATCACCCCTAAGATTGAGCACTATGGATGCCTTATCGATCTTCTAGCCCGCCGAGGTGTTTTAATGGAGGCATATAATCTTGCCAAGATGATGCCTTTCGAGCCCAATGTTGTAATATGGGGCAGCATTCTCAATGCATGCAGGGTTCATGACAATGTGGGCCTTGCTGAGAAGGTTGTTGATGAGTTGATGAAACTCAAATTATCAGATGAGGGTAACTTTGCAATTATTTCTAACATATATGCCTCAGCTGCAAAATGGGATGGAATGGCTAAGGCTAGGTTGAAGATGAGAGATGATCTCGGGCAAAAGCGGGCTGGTTCGAGCTGGTTGGAGCTCGATGATGTGGTTCATGAGTTCACTGTTGGAGATAGAATGCATCCTCAGGCAGATAGAATTCTCAGAATGGTTAGTAGGTTGGGGAAACATATAAAGCAGCTTTGTGAAGAATGAATGGAAGCTAAATTATTCAAAGAATTGGAGCTAAATGGAAGAAAAGTGGCTACATTTCTATGGCATTTATATCCTGTTTTTCTGAAGCAGATTGGATTAGGAGTTCTGCTTTGTTGATTTGGGAGAAGAACAGATCTTGCATCCTTAACAGACCTTTCTTAATGTGTGCACAGAAAAAAAGGAGGGGCATTTACATACATACCACACAATTCTTATATATTTACACATCTAGCGCCAAAAAATTCATATTTACATACATAGCGCTCACATCTTTGACATCACATCATAATACTACTGTGACTAATCTTTTAAAAGTGAAATGCACCTTTTCATGTATAGGTTTTAATATCAGGTTTAAGAAATGTAAATATTAAACTTTAGTTGTTATATATTTTTTAATGCATAAGAATTGTGTGGTTATGTATGTAAATTTCACAAAAAAGAAAGGGAACTATATCAAGCTAGCTTTCATGCTTTGATTAAGCTGAGATTGCATTTGTTGAAGACGGAAGTCTTCATAAACAAACCTCACTACCATACAGAATTATGCAATGTTCTAAAAAACGTATTGCCGAATGATCGAAGCCGGCGATTATTCGCTATGCACCGGTTAGAGATTAAATGAAATTCTTTGTGGAATTGTGCAATGTGTGAACGATGGATCGTTGCATTTCTCGATCGAAATTCATGTTGAGCTCTTTCGTTGAACCTCCGTAAAGCTTCCGGTCTTCGGATTGAAATGAGGGATCAGAAGGTATATGCTTGGTGGACTGGCTGATCAAGTAAGTTCTTAATCAATTTCTATTAGAATTTTCTTAAATTTAGTTATATGAAAAGGTAGATTTCACTGTTTAAAAGTTAAAATAGTGATATTTTTTATGTGATATGAAAGATTTGGTGGGTCCAAATATAAAAAGTAATGTTTGATTGTTAGAAATAAATACTTGGGGATTAAGCGGTTTGTATGTCAATGGATTGTCTCAAATGTTAACATCCTTGATGAGTGTCATTGTCTTTGAACATCTTCAAATGCCATTTGTCTTTTTTGATTAGGCTTTCTTGTGGTTGACCAAACTTTCATGAATAGAGGAGATGATTGCTTGATATGTGGAAGTAGTTGACCAAATCTTCCAATGTTTAACCAAGGTGCTAATGTGGCACGTGGCGATGATTTGAGAGACCCACGTTGCATGCATAATTATTCGTGGCTTACGAGTGCAATGAAAATTATAAACTAAAAAAGATAAAGTCAAAGAGAAAAAAAAAAACCAATAAAACATTATGATTATATTTGACACAAAGATGAAATTTATTATCTATGTTTGGAAATGATATATATTATAGGAGGCTATCCATTTGACTTAAGGTTCAAAATGATCTGTCCACTTCTTGCCTACATAACATATATATATATATAAAGAGAGATGGAGAAATTTTCCTTCCTAACCTTAGCCAAAAGGGATCATTTGATTGGTTTGAGGGATGGAAGTAAGATGATATGATCCATGTTGGACTATTATGCCCTCTGAGTGTGATGAACTTCCAAATAAGGCTCATAACTAAGGTAGTAATCAGATCAAATATGTCGTGGATTATACTTGACTTGGTTACATTATAAATTGTTCATGTTCATCTCGAGCTCAAGTGGAGCCTTTTTGAATGTTCAAATTTGATCTTACCTTGCTTGGACTTGGATTGTTCATGTTAATTGAACGAATACTTCAACAAGTTAATAAACAAGCTAAAAATTAGAATGAGTGCCTATCTTTTCATTAAAAATATAATTAATTAAAATTTATTTAAATAATATATCATATATTATGTGAACTATCATTAAGTTTAATATCGAGGATTTAATAAGTTACTTTTTGAACGACAAATAAGTTGTTCATGAATCTGATTAGGCCAGTTGAATAGTGTTTAATTTTAGTTTATTTAACCTTCGTGTTTTTAAAAACATATTTAAACTTGTTTTTTTACGAAAATGAACAAACTTAACCGAATATTGTTTGAGCCAATTTCGAGCTATTCATAGAGTGCATTGGTTCATTTACAGTCCTATTTAGAACTTAGTGATTAATCTTGATGGATGAAATTTTATTAGTCAACAAACTGACATGAAAACTCAAAACAAAAGTTTTAATGTTTCATTCAACTCTAATTGATTTAGCATCAGACGAATATCAATCATATTATATTTTATCAAATAATTAAAATTAATCGCAAACATATCAATAATAAATTAATCAACTTCTTCACTTGCCATCAATGAATATATATATATATTATTA